GCAATTATTTTCATGTTGATATTTTTGGAAATATTCATCATACTTTTAGTACTATAATATTTTCCTAAATCACAGGTCCAATCATGTCAATCTTCTATTTAATAAACTCCAAACCTTCAGGATCAAATGAAAAATCCTCTGTTTGATGTTTAAGGCCCTTCATAACCTGCCCCGCTTTCCTTTCCTTTCTTATACCTTACACTTCCCAATATTCTCTTAGATTGAGTGGCACTGCCCTCCACGTTGCTCCCAAAACAAAATACTGTATCTCTTGGATCTGGATGTTTTTTCTAGCTGTCCCTCACACCGGGAAAGTCCTCCATCCTGGCTTTGCTGGCTTCTTTCAAGTTCCTCAAGTCAGATGGGCTTGAATGTCACCTTCTATAGAAAACCTTTCCCAAACCTTCTTAATTCTAGTGCCCTACCTCCATTGTTGGTTTCCTCTTAATCTTGTGTACAGTTTATTTGTATACATTTGTTTGCATGCTGTCTCTTCCATTAGATTGTGAGCTCCTTGAAGGAAGAGACTATCAAGCATCTTTCTTTGTATTCCCAATGATTAGCATAATGCCTGGTACATAGAAGGCACGTAATAAAAGTTTACTAATTGACTAATATGTTATGACCAAATATTCCATGACATAATAGTTCTTGTAGCTCTTGAGCATACTATATAAATACACTGTCAACTTTTTTCTTTGATTCTCCAAAGACTGCTTTTGAGTCATCCTTTCATTTGGATAATACTTCTTTCTTTCTCTGGGGTTTGTTTTTAGCAAGAATGTCAAGACTGTTATCACTCAGTTCCTCTAGAAGTGTCTACTTGCTGGTCCTCGGACAAAGATATTACATTTAGAGAACTAATATTTAAATTAAAATTTGTTGATGGTCTAAAACCAGTGATTCTTAACATGTTCTACCCTCATTCCTATCACTCTTACCACTGCTAAAGCAAAAGGATGCACATGAACTGCCATTTTTAAAAATTTTCCCAGTTTCATGAGTTACCACAGTCAAAAAAGTTTTATCACCACATGTCCTGCCTAATAATTATAAAATAACTTCATTTTATGTCTGTAGAACATCCATTTTCCAACCTCATATCTTAACTAAAGACCACATAAATGATATACTGCTTTTCATTTCTCTAACCCCTACCCCAGTGGACAATGGTTAGTTTGTTTGGTCAGTGGGTCATCTTCATTTTTCTTCGAGAAAACCCTAGATTTATATATGAATCATAAAGTAAGATGGGTTTGAATATTCAATGGCCTTCTCCAGTCTAGGATTAGACTGGAGTCTATGTTGTGGTTCCACACTGTCAATAGTTGAAAAGATTGAGTAAGTAGATCCCATGAGAATATCCCTGAGTGGATTCCAGTATTACTATCCTTACTCAGGGACCCTTAGATCTTTACAACTGTACCCAGGTCACATAAAATTCCTGATATACTTCTGAAATGGGTCTTCTAGATGCACTCCTAGAATGGCCCTACCTGTATGAAATGTGTATGAAGTCTTTGAAAAGGTCCATGAATGGGGACATGTGATCCTGGGCAAGTCACTTGACCCCCATTGCCTCACCAAAAAAAGAAAAAAAAAAAGGGGTCCATGAATGTGGGAAAGGGTTACACTCCAGGGAATGTGACTCAGGTGGACTACAATAGGCTATAAAGCATTCAAATGGCTAGCTATTCCTCAGATACAAAGACAATACTGCCAACAGAGCTGATGTTCTATCAAAGGGGATTATCAGTCACACCAGAACCAGCTTTTATCTCTAGGCCTTTAGCAAGAAACTACACTTACAATAAACAAACTATCCTAATTTACTCTCATTAATGAGATATTCAGAAAATGAATAATCTAGCTAAGTATTTTCTTTGGCTTTTCAAAACCAGAGTTAACAGAGTACTAAATCTGAGCATACCCTTTGATACGATACCACTACTGTGCCTATACCCCAAAGGGATTAAAGAAGAAAAGGACTCATATGTACAAAAATATTAACAGTAGCTCTTTTCAAAGTAAAGAACTAGGATGCCAATCAATTGGGGAATGATGAACAAATGATGGTATATTAATGTAATGTAATTACTGTGTTGAAAGAAATCATGATGTGGAATGAACTATGAAGGAGAAAACTTATACTATAACTACAACACTGTAAAGAAAAACAACTTTGAAAGACATAAGAGCTCTGATCAATACAGTGAGCTACCACAATTCCAGAGGACTAATGCAACCAACCCTCCTGACAAAGACGTGATGGACTCAAGAAGCAAAATAAGACATTTTTCTGACATGGCCAATGCAGTAATTTGTTTTCTTTTACTATGCTTATGAGTTAGAAAGGTTTGGTCTTCCTTCTTTCCTTCCTTTTTTTACTTCCAACTGGGGAGAGGAGAAGAGGAGGAAATGAAAAAAAAAAGTTTGCTAACTGGGGGGAAAAATGTTAAAAAGCTCAAAGTTTACAGAGGTTCAATAACGTTACTAGCACCAAATTTCTGAATAATAAGGCTTTAAAAAAGCTTTAAAGTATTTTTTATTAAAGAGGAAGAATTACTTGGCAACCAGCAGTGGATTTTGTTCTCATATTTTCCAGCTTAAAGTAACTGACAAAAATTCCCTTTAGTCTGTAGCATCTGTGGGATAACTGTTTATTGCCCATATATGGCTGAGCTGTCTAAATTAATGACTCCTAAATCTTCAGCTTCCAGCCTTTTTTATAAACATTATAAAATTTTGTTTGCAAGGTCTTCATAGCAATATATAAATATACTTTTTTTTTTCCAGGTAAACCATCTATATGACAAATTTAAGTGAAATAAGAATAATATGGATTTTTAAGTAAAAGTCAAAGAGTAATGCACTAAATTTTGCTTATCTTATAAACTAGAAAAAACAAGTATTAAATTTCATAGACAAAAAATAAAGCATTAATTTAAAATACTGGGTGACTTACTGAACTTTAGTTTAACCTAGAAGCTATTTAAAATATGCACAATGGTTTGTACTCATGAAGCATTTAATAGTTTTTTTAAATTAATTATGGACCTCCTTTAAAAAAAAATTACTGTGTAAGTCAAGTTTAGATTTAAAGGTAAAAGCAACCAACTAGTTTTTAAATATTCCGTGCATCTAACAAAATCAAAACTGACCCTCAAAATATAAAGATTAAATTATCAATACATTGATGTATTTTTAAAAATTAACAGAATTTCTTAGTGGAAAAAATAAAGACAACAGTACAAACTCTTTGGTTCTGTCTGGAAATACAGATAGCATTGCTTTTAAAAAATGAGGTCTGAGTTAATCAGGGGTTCTTAATCTGGAGTCTGTGAACTTTAAAAATACATATTTTGATAAATGTATTTCAATAGAGCTGATTTCCTTGGTAATTCTACATATTTTATTTTTACACATTGAAAAACATTATTTCAATAAGGGGTTCATAGGCTTCACCAGACTGCCAAAGAGGTCAATTTATACACAAAAAACGGTTAAGAAGCCCTGGGTTAGATAAACCCACAACATAACAATATAACACCATATACTGAATCATTTCAATGGATAAATGATTAACTGTGAAGTATTAATGCATTGGTTTGACTATAGACTGCATCTCTAAAATGAGATCATTTCTTCTGTTAAATATAAAAACTTAGATAAATTATACAATGCGATTATATAACAATTGAGCTACTTAGGATAAATTGGTTTTTTTTTCTTTTAAATAAATCTGCGTTAAGTTTTTGCCACACAAAAAGTATGACATCATTACAAGCTAAAAAACAAAGAAATAAACCAGGAAAAGTGTGGAAATTTGGAATTGCCAAAAACTGTTGTAAGTTAAACTTTTCCTGGCCGAAGGGCCCAAAAGATGAATCATCCTCTCTCCCTTGCTCTCTTCCTGCCTTCTTTCACTCCACTCCTACAGCAATCCCTGGATCAGTTCAAAGCTTGGAAACCTGGCCCCCATTTTTCCACTCTGACACACTATGTGTCATGAAGCCACGTCTACAGGTTTCAGGTACTGGCCCAGGATCATCTCTCTACCAACAGTGGAAAGCTTGAGCCCAAGTAGAAGGAAGGAAGTACAAAATCTTGGCAAAGGTAAAGCTTAGGGAGCTCCTTTCTACTACATATCCCCAGGACTGCTTAATAGTCTCACTGATATGTGGTAAAAGGAAAACTTGATGAACTTGACAATGACATCTTTATCTCTAAAGACTCACAGCAAGGATGTAGGCAGCTTATTCATGTCAATGGAAGGCAGCCTGGCACAGAAAGACAGCTAGATTTGAAATCAGAAGAACTGGGTTCAAAATGCAGCTCTATTTACTGCACTTAACCACTACATGTGACCATGAGCAAGTCTCTTAACTTGTCTGGGTCCCAGTTCTCATGTGTGAAATAAGGAAGTTCGATGAAATGGGCGATGAGGTCCCTTGCAGCTCCAAATCTATCTTTATATGATCTTTCCTTATCTTGCCATGCCAGCAGTAGGGGTGATGGGCAAAGACCCATTCATCATGGCTGGGGCCCTGTGAGGAAGCTATTGCGATAGCCTGAGAAGCCAGTTAGGTTTAAGTTTTATCTGCAGCACTAAAAGTAAAACTATAGGCTCTTCAACTTTTACATGAGCCAGATATAAAACAACATGGCAGTTTATATTAAGATGAATACAATAAATATGTGCAAATTACAACTAATATGCAAAACTGACCCTTTAAGCAAAATCATTGTTCATAAAATATATATTATTAATATGAAGGTAATATTGAGCCTATTTAAACAATTTTATCATAATAAACTTCACAAGGGTTTAAAAATTATTTCTTCACAAGAGAGTCTTTAGAAAGAGACACAGAAGTAATCTTAGGGTGTATTTTAGGTACAAAGAAAGGAAGGTAAATAAGAATACTTTTTCTCTTCATCTGCTCTTCTGTACTTTACTTTGTCAGTGAAATGATTAAAAAACAGTGATATGGACTTACAGGTTTTCTGAGGAAGAAAATGGACAGAGCTCCAACTAATGGCATGTCCCCAATCAATGGTTCTAAGATAACTCTCATTGTACCATGAATCTAAAATAAAGAAAAAAACGTTATTATTACCTTTATATAAGCCTAAAGGACAAAGTATACAAAAACAAAAAAGTATTATTGTTCAAAAATTACAGTTTAAATGACTAATACTACTGATTTCAAGTTTCTCCAAAATGACACATACTGGGTTGTGCCATAGTCCTCAACTTGTAAGCTAAAAAATCTTTCAAAGAAAGTATGATATAATGGAAAAAAACAAGTTCTATCTTTGATGTACTATATATTGAACACTTAGATTTTTTAAAATGAACTTACCTGTATACTTTTCACTCCAGCTCTACAGAAGTATCTCTTGATCTCCAAATCAATCTCACAATTTCCCACAAAACTAAAAGAGGAAAACAGATTATTTTTAAAAAGAGCAATTAACAATAATCTACTGTAACCAGACAAATTATTATATATTCTTAGTCCAGGGCTTAAATGAAATTAAACCAGGCCAAAAAGAAATCAAGTCACAGTCAAAAATATTTAATTAAAATAAAATAAAGAGATGCAATCATTTTATCAATAGCCATCATCTTGAGAGCTGAAAACCAGAAAGCTGAAAATTAACAGAGTTGAACAATGAATTAGACCAAGATCTGAATAGGAGAAAGAGAACAAGCTGGATTACATCTGAGTAACTATATAGTGCTTTTAATGATCCCAAGTGATTCTACAGCACAAAACCCCATCTTTTTAACCCAAATATTCTACCAATGATTCTGCATAGCTGTAAATCTTGGAATACAATAGGTTTGAAAAATCAATGTTGTAGATGACCCAAGAAGAACAGAAAGATGAGTAGTGTGTCTAAGTAGGCTGTAGCATATTTCGAATGATGACATAGTTGCAAAAAGTTGTGTGAAGAGTACCATTCAGGAAAAGTATGATGTCAGTCAGTCATACAGCAAGATAACAGACAGCCTACATGTTGCACTGGTAACCACTAAGTATTTTTTTTAAAGCCTGGAGAAAGGACTCTAATACACTGGATTGATCCTCCTTGGAAGATCAATCTGAGATCATAGGCAAGAACTACAGGGTATGTAAAGCATGGCTGGATTCTGACCTGCACTCATGGAAGAAAAATCCACAACCACAAGGTCACAAAACCAAGGAAGAAAAGAAGGTCAAGAGGTGGCATTAAATTGGTCAGTGGGTGAGAAGCTGGCTGGGTGCATCTTCCCTTTTTCTGGTCAAGCTAACTCCTAAGTTAGTGATAGGACAGAACAATAATTACCTGATCTGAAGGTCCAAAATAATCTGTCGTTTGTCCACATTTTCAGTGTACACTTTAACACCATTAATCCTCAGGGGCTGAAACAAGTAAGATTTCAGAATTTCTCAGAGACCAAACCCTAGTATTTTATTATATTTTTAGCTTTTCCTCTCTGTACCACTATCTTTCAAAGATGTTCTTATTTAAGTAAGTTAGATATTTAAAAAATAAATACCAGAAGGAGAAGGTTTGCATAAACATGCAATTCTGTAATTTTCCTTTCATAAATGAACACTACCACGACAAAAGAGAACTACATTTAATGCTCTATGTTTAAATGATTATTGGCATTTTGTAAGTAGGAGGTCATCTAACCTCAGTTCCCACACAACTTAGGATTTGGTCTGGATCTAGAGACTGATTCAAAGAAAATTACTCTGGAATCAACATTTCTGTTTTAAGATTATCAAAATTAGTATGTATCCATTACTTAAAATGAGATCCAGAAGAAAGAATGACAGTATCTTAAGGTTTATCTTCTCCCACCAAAATGCTCCCCTGTCATTCCACACCTTGACAACGTTTCAAAATTTTCAAGGAAATGTGACTTCCTCAGTGTGGATACTCCCTCTACCAGAGATGGCAATTACAATCCCTTCAAACCTTTGCAGGTGGAACAAAAAAGAATCATCTGATGGTCAAACTTTTGGCAATGAGCCTCTGTGAATTCCACTGGGATGGGTCTCAGATTATAAACACAAACTCACACACCATCCATGAGCTCATACTTGAAGTCTATTCCTTATAAGACCTTGTAGAACAAAAGCATGGTCTTCAAGAATCCAGAGTCACTTTCACATTGGAATCAGATTCAGACTCCAGTGGAAGGTAGTAAGCTACTTTAAAAATAACATGCTATCAAGGGGCAGCAAAGTGGCACAGTGGTCAAAGTGCTTGGCCTGCAGTCAGGGACACCGATGTTCAAATCTGACCTCAAACACTTACTAGCTGTGTAACCCTAGGCAAATCACCAGATCTCTGTCTGTCTCGGTTTCCTCTTCTAAAAAACAGGGATAAGAATGAGCAACTACCTCCCAGGACTGCTGTGAGGATAAAATAAGATAACAGTAGTAGTGCTTATTAATTACAGTGCCTATATTCTCCTTCCAACTATCCCACAATTTTCACTTTTAGGATCTCTTTTAAAAGGTTATTTGTGGGGAAACTTAACATACTAACCACACACAATTGCCTTTTTTTCTTAACATCTATTTCAAGGCCTCTGTGGCAGAGTGAAAAGAGAATAGACCCTACGATCCTCTGGAAAATGCTGGCTCTGTGATCCTTGTCTTCAAACTCTCTGGACCAGAATTTTCTCATATACAAAATAAAGTATGACTCTAAAGTTTTTTCCTGGCTCTAAGAACCTATGAATCTTATACTACTGAAATATCAAAAATAAAATGCTAACATATACTTTGCAATTCTCATTTTGTTAAAGGTATATCAATTGATTATGACTAAAACAAAAAGAAACTGTAGCTATGTGCTACAGTGTTTAGTTATGTGTTTAGCACAAAATTTACAAGCACATATGCAAGGTAGGAATGCTAAAATTTCACACAAAAAAGATCATCTAATTGAAAATTATGTAAATCTGGATCAAAATATTCCTTAAAAAGAATAGTTAAAATATAGTTCTCTGTGTCAGCATGATATACAGCTGCAGTAAGTTGTTGTTTACATGATTTGGTTTTGAGAACACAATGTGTAATAGTTCCTTTATCCTACTTATTGATGTTGCTTGAAATTCTACCATTAGAGACAGCCATCCCTTGGTATAAGTTTTTAATAAATGTTTTGTTAAAATGTAAATATCCCCCAAGAAATAATGCATAAAGGTAATTATCAGCTATTTAACATAAGTGTGAATTCCCTTTATATCAGCATCCCAATATTTCCAACTCGACATATTCCAATTTCTCCAACAATTTCTCCAATTTAAAAAAAAAATGAGTCCCAGCAAAAGTAAGTCTAGAAGAGCAGAGAGCGATGTGGAGAAGATACAGGAGACTGAGATTTTTTTTTGACACAAGGAGTACTACTGGAGGAAGACAAAGCTAGGTAGAAGGCTAAAATGTTAGACCCTGAGTAGCAGGACAGTACAGCAGGGGAAGGGGAGAGCATTCTGACATGAGAGCGGAATAATTAAAAGGGAAATTTTCATCTTTCAATTGAACACAAACTTCCTTTACTTCACAATTTTGTTAGGGGCTTACTCTAATGAATAAACAACAGTACAAACAGGAGAGATAAAATGATAAAGTAGAAAGAGTAAGGCACATCAGTAAGCAAATATCAGCTCTCTCATCTGTAAAATGGGAATGATATTACCTGTAGTACTTAACTCAAAGTAGTTGTGATGATCAAACAAGAAAGCATGAAAAGCAATTTGTAAACCTTAAAAGAGTTCTAGATAATTAAGTTCCCTACTGCTAAGTAGTTCAATAGCAATTTGACTATGTCACATATATCTTTCTCTATGTACCTATCAGAGATAAAAGAATAATTCAAAAGACACTGACCTGATGACCCATATCAATCTTTGTGAAACTGAAGGTACTAAGGTGAGCATTTGCTCCCCGAACAGCTGGTTCTATTGTTTCTCGAAACAATTTCTCTATAAACTGGCAAATAAAAGGCCACATGTGCTTTACAGTCTAGAAAGGAAAAAAAAGAATCTGTTAAAAAAAAAGTTACAAAAACACAACCTGTTTAAGTCATTGAGAACAATGTACCTTCAACTAGATTTATTTTTAGATGCTGCCTGTACATTTTATATCCAAAGTGTTTGCTGTACTTCAGATGATGGAGAAGAGGGGGAAGGGGAGAAGGTGGGGTGGGGGGGTGGGGAGAGAATAGGACAGATTAAAGGATTCTGGTTATTATTCAGTACAATTATAACAAACCAGAATGTTCCAGGCAGAAAGTGTTCTAGGTAAATGAGTTTTATGGGTTCTTTCATATTCATCACAGATATTTAATATCTGAATTAAATTTAATTTAGGGTTAGTCAGATAACTCTTTTTGCTAATCTTTTTCATTTTAATCTACTTTCCTTCCTTATAAAGCAAACATTATTTTTATGACTAAGGAACACTTAATATGCCTTAAGGTAATCATTTAATATTAATTTTCACTATAAACTATAAAAAATGTAGGAGGTTTAGGACATACAGGCGAATATGTACCAAATGGCACACCCTGAGACATGCTTTTGTTTTGAGTTTTGACTGTCCCTTCACATAACCAAAAAGAAAAAAACTTCCAGGGATTACTATGCATTAGTATGGTCATTACTGTGAAGAAGCTGTCACATAAAGTCAAAGTATAGTGTATTTGCTGTGAACTGGCCCAGCCATTCTAAAAAGCAATTTGGAACAATGCACAAAGGTTTACTAAAATGTGCATGCCCTGTAACCCAGTAATAACACATACCAAGGTCATAACCCAAAGAGATCAAAGAAAGAAAAAAATGGACCCACATGTACAAAAATAACTATAATACACTTTCGGTAGTAGCAAAGAACTGAAAACTATGGGTATACTCATCAATAACAGAATGGCTAAACAAGTTATGGTAAATGAGTATAAGGGAATACTACTCTACTGTAAAAAATAACAAATGGTAAAGTTTCAAAGAAATCTGAGAAGAATTGTATGAACTTATACATAATGAAGTAAATAGAACTAGGAGAACAATTTAAACAATAACAATAACAATGTAAAAACAGTAACTTTGAAACCTCAAAGAACTACGATCAATTCAATGATTACCACAATTCTAGATAATCAATGATGATGATGATGCACATGACCCACTGCCTGACAGAGAGGTTATGGACTCAAGTTGCAGTATGAGACATGCAAGTCCAGACATGGCCTGCATGGTAACTTAGTGAGATTGTTTTGTTTTTCTTTTTTCTCTTTTTCAATGGACGGAAGTAGGATGGGGGGGGGGGGCAAGGCTAAGGTTGACCCCAAAAAAAGAAAGAAAAGAGGGTCATTGAAGCATTTTTTAAAACCCACAGAAGAAAACAATAGATATGCCAGAAGAAATCATAAATAAGCAGGAGAGTTTTAAAAGTGATACACTGAATTTACTCTATACTTAAGAGGAAATTTACATCAACCATCTTTTTCTGTTCTATAGTGTATACATACATACATACATATATACATATATATATGAAAATCCTTGTTTCAAGGAGTATAGTTACTATTAGAATAAATTTTTTTAACAAAACAATAAAGTAAGCAGGAGGTCACAGAAATAGAAAGTATGCTTGCAACATCCCCTCAGGCTTTTCTTTAGCCATAATTAAAGGACATTTCTCAACGTATAGCAAGTAACCCAAAATGACTGAGTTCTAGTTATCTATAACAAAGAAAAAAAACAAACAAAAACAAAACAAGATTCTGCTACACAATTTCTAATGCTATAAACTTTAGAATCCCAAAAAATAAAGGGTAACATCTCATTTTCTAATTCTTATGGAAGACAGGAAGACTGGGGTCTTACCTTATTTAGCCATTCTGCTCTTTCAGTGTCAGGAAAATGGACCTACAACAACAATAAAAAATAGATAAGCCAGATTAATTGGAATATTAATAACAACAAAAAAACTCAGGTTACTATTTAGCATGTTTATAAATACTTGCCTTGATTATATATTGCTTTAGAAAACCTATTATTTCTATATGCTTTATAGCTGCAAAACTAGGTCTATATTACTGTATTAACAATAGTAGGACATGTATAACCTGTATTGAGTTGCAGTTGCTTGCCTTCTCAATGAGGGTGGGTGGGGACGGAAGTGGGGAGAAAAAATTTGGAACCCAAAGTTTTAAAAACAAATGTTAAAAACTGTTTTCACATGCAACTGGGAAATAAGATATACAGGCAATGGGATATAGAAATCTATCCTACCCTATAGGAAAACAGAAGTGGAAAGGGATGAGAAGGGGGGGGTGGAGATAGAAGAGCAGAGCAGATTAGGGAAAGGCATATTCAGAATGCACACCATCTTGGGCGGGAAGAGGGTCAAGATGGAGAGAAATTTTGAAACTCAAAATCTTGTGGAAGTGAATGTTGAAAACTAAAAATAAATAACTTAATAAGACTCAAAAAAAATTTAAATTAAAAATAAAAAAATTAAGAAAAAAAACAATAGTAGGAAAATAATCTAAGAAGTGAAATAGGGGGCAGCTAGGTGGTGCAATGGATAGAACACCAGCCCTGGAGTCAGGAGGATCTGAGTTCAAATCCGGTCTCAGACCAAATGTTTGACATTTACCAGCTGTGTGACCCTAGACAAGTCACTTAACCCCAACTGCCTTGCCAACAAAAGAAGTGAAATAAAGATATGATAATTTGGGCCTTTGACATTTTAGTTTAATAGTGCTTTGAGGAAGGAAAAAAAAAACCCTGCAAGTTTTAAGTGCCAAAGAACCTATCTCCTGTATTTTTAACTATTTATAAACATTTTCACTTGCATGTTCTGCTTACACCTCAAACTTTATGCAGAATATAAAAGTTGGACTCATCATCTTCCATCTAATCAGGCACCTCTTTGACAATTCCTCCTCAGCAACAGCAAAAATCTAAGCAGTAAATCTAATCATTCCTAATGAAACATCACAATGCACTTCCCCCAGCCTCAGCAAAGTGAGAGGCAGCCCAAACTCATCTAACGTGGGTAAGTGACACAGCTGGGTAGGATCATAATGAAAAAATGTTGCAAAATCCTATCTCTTTAATAACAAAATTGTCCCATAGACACTCTGTGGCTATGAATTTTCCACATCATGCTGAGGGGACCTTTAAAAAACAGGATAGGCTGCAAAGCACTACCAATTATGACTAAAGTGATACAAAATATTATCAACAGTAGATAGGACAGGAAAAGGGGAGATAAGCTCAAACAGAATGCCAATCAACAGCCCAAGGGATAAACTAATATTACCAAAACATTAAAACAATAAAAGAATGCCTTCAGTGCCTAGGGCAGATCCTCTCCAGAGGAAGTACACATATATAAACATCACAAATGATGGAAAAAGTTTGGAATGGTTACAATCTGTAATAATGAATATCTAAACTGGTGAATAATGGATCCACCAAAGTACTCTTAGGAAAACAAGGATTCTGCTGATACTTAATACATACTCTTTTTGATCCCTACTCCTCTATTAAGACACACTACAGAAAGTCTGGGCTCCTGAGATGAAATCTGCTATTAACAAGGAACAAGGAACGTATCATTTCTGAACCACCAGTTAAGATGAAGACCTTTCTTCACCAGAAAGAATAATCTTAAGGGTATTACTGAAATGTGTTTTTTAAAGACGCTAAATTCTGAATGGCTGGGGGTCAAACTGGTTGGTGACTGAAGGAAACTTGGAATTAGGGATGGTTAGGAAATAATATGGGAAAAAAAGAATTTACTTATTTGACCCAGCAAAAAAAAAAAAAAGAAAAAAGTCCAAAGATAAGTAAAAGGCAATGTGACAAAATGGGGAGGACCCCCACACTGAGTATGGATTTAGAAGATCTGAGTCTCAATCCTGCCCCTGTAAGATGTTGGGCCAGCTACTTAACCTGAGTCTCAGGGCCTTTACCTACTTGATCTATGAAATGAGAATAGTACTTGTGCTACCTAACTCACATGGTAGTTATGAAGATCAAATGAAATAATTTAAAGTTCTTAACAAGTAAGGTGCTACAGAAACACAAGAGACTAATTATTAAGAGAGAAGAGTCACTGGAGAAATTTATGCCAACAAACAGGGCCTTAGGGACTTGCTAAAGAGACTGATCCACCAGATGGGGTTTCCAGTAATTGTGGAAAGGGCAAATTCAATCTGAAGTTAAGGACTTGGTTTCCAAGGACCAACTTTACTTAGAAATGTGTTAGTCTCAAGAAGAAACAGGTCGAAAATTAAGTAAGACTGAATTACAAAAATCTCCACTTTTAATAACATCTCTCCTCTCTCCCCCCGTCCCCAATTCTCCCTCTCCCCATACACACACATTTTATAGTATGGCATTTCATCACATTGGAATAAATTAGCTTTATTCTGAATGGCCAATGGCCAGTAGAATATTGTATATATTTCTTCAAAACTGTTTTCTTACCTTGCCTTCCCCCTTCTGAACTACCAGACCTTACAATCTGTCCTGCGGTTTCACCTTCCAGACCACAGTCCACATACCCTGAAGGATTTGAAATCGTTTAACCCTCTTATCTTTGGAACTCCCTTCACGGGGCCTGCAGTGAATGCTCTGACTAATAAGTATGTAACATAACCAGTGTATCTTCATATTTGAGCCTGGCAATCTTCTTGCTTTCTGCCCTACTTTTCTTCCTTCCTGCAGCCCTTTCCAGCTGAAATAAAAACAGCTACCATTTATATATCGCTTTAAAGTTTACAAAGCACTTTACAAATATCTCATTATATCCTACAAATAGCCTTGGGATATAGTTACTATTATTATTTCCATTTACAGATGAAGACACTGAGGCAGACAAAGGTTAAGTGACTTGTGCTGGGTCATATAGCTGGTGTCTAATCAATCTAATTTTTCCATTGGTACAAGAAAGGGTATGTCAGTTGACTCCCCTCAACATTGCAATAATTTCACAAACCAAAACATTCCCTTCTGGGCCACAGGTCTCGATGAATTGTCTCTCTCCGTAAGCATGAAGCTCCTTGAGGGCAGAAACCATTATACTTCTGTATTTATATCTTTAATGCTTAGCACAGTGCTTGAAAATGCTTTTTCACTCATTTCTTCCCCTTTTAAAGCTGTCATAAAGGTGAATAGTTTGAAGTTGGGCTTTGGTCCCAAAGTTGTGCTACTAAAAGGGCAAATGCTTCATTTCCTTCAGATAGTGACTAACCTTGGATAGTAAGTGACCAAAAGAAAAGCATGTTGAACCCAGAATGATTTCATCATTAACTTATTCCTTCCTCTCCCAATTTAAAGTGACCACTGCAATCTAGGATCTCATATCATCATACTTCTATATTATACCTCATTGGTCAATTTCTACTTACTCTTAGTATGTAACTCAGTATTTGCTGAATTAAAGTGAACTCAGGTTAAGCCTGAGTAACCTTACATACTGGAGGCTATTGTAAATCTTTCCACTGTATTCCACTTTTCTGCCTTATAAAGCAAAAATAATTTGTTAATGACACTAATGCTTTTGAGCAAACATTGGGTAATCAAAATTCATTTTTCCCCACTATAAAATATCACTTCTGGTATTTCTGGTAATCCTAACCATTAAAGCTATTTTAAGCATAGATGGGAGATATAATATCTTGCTCTGCTCCAACCCCACCTTCCTAGAAATACCACTTGCTCACATTACTTCCTGGGAAAGAAACGATTGGGCTTCCCTAATGTACATTACGTCAAATCCCAACTCTTCAACTTGGTTTTCATTTGAAACTACTAACCTTCTTCACCATCAACCTATCTCATCAACTGCATTTTTTTAATCACTCTACCTTTTAGACTCTTATCCAGCCAAATTGATCTGTTTATCCCTTTACACAAAGTTTATTCATACAGGCTTCTTTATACAGGACCTCAGAAACATCTAATCCAACCTGTTCACAACTAAGAATCACTTCGTGTTCTCAACAAGTGGTCATCTGGACTACATTTGGGTGTGAAGGAACTGAAGGCTCTTATCTCATCTATGTCTAACATTCAAAATTCAGCTCAACTCATCTCTACAGGAAGCCAGCTCCCCCAAATCTGACCATTCCTTAAAAACTCCCCTCAGCATTTTTGCTCTAAGTTTATACTTTGTTTACACTTTCTGCCAGAGTGATTAGCGTTTATTCACTTGTTCCATGTGTCCAAGCACATTACAAAATCATACCCAAAGGCTTTATCTGTGTTTATCCTTTCAAGAGCACACAATAAAACATTGTACATGTACTCAGTGATCAATGTTTTTTGCTAAGCATAAAATATATTTCATTGTCCTAATTCTTCCTATTTATTTATGATTTAACTTCTTATAGGCAGCTAGATGACATAACATGTAGAGTACTAGACCTAATGTCAGAAAGACCTCAGCTCAAACAGCCTTAGACACTTAGTAGCCATGTAACCTTCAGTTTCTTCCTTTGTCGAACAGAGATATTACCCATTCCCTCCCAGAGTTGTTATGAGAATGAGATTATGTGTAATGTGATTTGTACATCTTAAAGAGATATATAAATGTTCACGATTATTACTATTATCATGGAAGGATCATCTAAACTTACATATATTTTAAGTACTTATACAATAACAGCCAGAACCTGTTCTGCTTTTGTGTGAAACATCATGTGAGGTGTACCGTATCAATACAGTCTTAAAACAACCACACGATAATCTATTATTATACCTGACACCTTATAGGACACCTATACCTTTCAGGGCTCATTTGACTTAGAGTGGAAAAAACACAATTACAAGATAACTCTTAGGACTACTACAATTTACAGTCTTGAAGGAAGGTATGAAACAAAGCTGCTAATGAGGAGGCACTCAAATGC